CTCTAAGCCAGCAAGGAGTTCTCCCCTCTGTGTGAAAGGCATAAAGCTGGCTGGGCACATAGCAGGTGCTCAGTAGATGTAACGAATTTCTAGTGTTTTTAAGGTGCAGCTTTTGGACACCACATATAGAACAGAATGAGAGGGGTTACTGATGGGCAGGAGATATCAAGGAAGAGTCCCGGAGACCCAAGGGTCAGCTCAGCTCTGCCTTGATGCCCCTCCTGCTCTTTGCCCCCAGCATCTACCTCTCTGACTTCACTTCCGCAGGCCCATCCTTCTGCATCAGCTTCCACAGTGGCTCCACCTGTGCCCCTAGAGCTGGCACCCAGGACCTCCTGAACGTGAGGCAGTCTACCACTAAGCGTTCCTATGGCTACGATTTTCTCCTCCTCTTCCTCCTCCTTTTCTTCTTCTTCTTTTTCCTCTCTCTCTCTCTCTCTGTCTCTCTCTCTGTGCTGGGGATGGAACATGGGGCTTACTGACCTGCTCTACCACTGTGTCACATCCCCCAGAAACATCTTTAAAAACAGCAATTACTTCCCGCTATTCTCCTGATACTCTCTGTCACATCTCTTGTTTTATTTTCTTCATGGCACTTTGTTAATTTGTACCACTGCCTTCCATCCCCATCACCACCAGAAGGAAGGTCTCACATACAAGTGTTTGTGGCTCTGGAGCCCCAGGGGCTGGTGCCTGAGGGTGCAGGCTCTGAGGAGCACTTCCTATCAGGGTGGAGCCCTCAGATTGCAGGTGCTGTGATCTCCCAGGTCCTCCCCTCAACCTCCCGGGGAAGCCTCCCCAGCCACAGCCCTGCCCAGGGCCTTCTTGCTTGGCCTTCCTAGGGTGCTCCTCATTGTGGGGTGGGGGCTCCCACACATTACACTCATGGCTGTTTTCTCCAGATCTCAGAGGGATTAGGAGCAGCAGTTCCTGGGTACAGAGAACTTGGAGCTGGTCAGCTAGCTCCCCAGGACACCCCAAGGCTCCCGGACCAACCGCAGGGCTGCCCCACTCACCCTCGCTGAGAAAGGCATCCCAGATGCGCAGCACTGTGGGGAAAGGCAGGGAGCGGGCGAAGAGGCACAGGAACCACTCAGGGAGGTAGAGCAGGGGCCCGACGCCCACCTGCTGTAGGTGCTTGTGAATGCGCGGGAGCAGCCGCCGAAGCAGGGCCATGAACACCTCGGCGTCCAGCTGCACAGCCTCCTGTGGCCATGTTCATCAGCCCAGCTGGCTGTTGCCACCCAGCGCCTCCTCTCCCAAACCCGGGGCTTTGGCCCTCCTCAGGCCCCCACACATCCTGCGCCCGTCTCAGCCTCTTACCATGTGGGGCCCGTAGTAGCCAGGGAGGTAGACCTCACAGATCTGCACCAGGCACCAGAAGGCCTCCTGGGTGGGAAGGCACATGCCAGTGAGTGCTCACCGAGGAAGGGACATGGGGCAGGAATCTGGAGTCAGAGCCACTCCTAAACTGCTCAGTGCCTGGGGAGGCTCTCACCAAAGCCCCTCCTCTTCTACAACTAAGGTCTACTTGCAGGTTTAGGGATTGGAAGTCACAAGGCTCAGTGTGCTAGACTTGAAGGTCACAGAGTCACTGAGCAAGAGTTGGGGATGGGTCCTAAAGTTCAAGTCCAGGATTCCTGGGGTCACTAGGGTCAGAGCTCACAGTCACAGGGTCCAGAATGAAGGCAAAGTGAAAACATCAGATTCTTAGGTCCTTAGGATAAGGGTTCCAAATTTTTAGAGTCAAGATCATTAGACTTGAAAAATCACTGAAGTTAGTGGTCACAAGATCCTGGGTCACTGGACGGGGTCTAGAAGTAAAGGATCCCAGAGTTCCTGAGACTAGGCTGGGGTGAGGCAGGGGTCTCATGGGACCAGAGCTCAGGATCACAGGGGTCAAGGTCATTAGGGATGGAGGGTGAGGATGAAGTTCACTCACCTCTGGGGGCAGGTGCATGAGCAGCACAGCTGCTACAGGGCCCTGGGCCTGGCAGTAGCCCTGTTCCGGCCGATACAGGGTGTAAGCCTTCAGAACCTGGAGGAGCCCCTGCTGCCTGTGTCAGAAGACCCCATTAGGAGCTAGTCCTCCAGGCACCCCTTCCCCACCCTTTGTGGCTTCCGCTCAAGCTGAAGCCACCTCTGGGCCTTGCTGGGTTCCCTGGAAAGCAAAGATGTAAAGCTAGTATAGGGAAGCTAGGCAGAAGCATCTAGTGAGGGAAGTCCTGGGGTTCCTGGGTGTCACTGGCCTCATACCCATGACCCTGGGGTGACACAAACATCTCATGCAGAGGGAACTGGCGGTGCAGGTCCCTGCCAATGGTTTCCATCCACTGAGGGTCTCCTGGGGCTTCTGCCAGCTCCTGTGGATGGGCAGGCAGATAGGGATGGGCTCCAGGTAGCAAGAAACTCTGGGCAGGAGACGTGGGACTCTTTTTTTTTTTTCTTAACCAAGTCAACAAAGAAAATAGGTGGGATTCTTGCCAACTCCCTCACCTGATACATGCCAGGGCTGTTCTTCTGACGCACTTGAGCCCCACACAGCAGGGGCCAGCAGCGGGCCCGCAAGGCTGAGGGGATGCCTTTCCGGCACTGGATCTTTACCTGTGGGCAAGCCCGAGGGGCTCCATTAAGCAGTCTATTTGTTCCACTTGGCAGGTTCCAAACACAACCTCCCCTCAGCCAGGGGCCAGCAGGGGATACTGGGTCATAGCATGGGTGAATTTTGCTAAGGCACTTTAGGGGCACAGGGGAAGGAGCCAAAAGGACCTGGAAAGATCCACTCTCCTCACCTTCTTGTACCGTCGAGACATAGTTTTCTCCCAGTGTGAGGTCATCTCCACCCACTTCATCTCACGCTGGCGAATGAGGTCTGCAGGGGGGTAACCTGGCCTGGGGACACACGGCAGTTATCCTGGTACTGGCAGCTGCTTCCTACAGCCCATGCCTGCTCCTTCCAGGTTACCCAAGTGAATGAACCCAGCATCTGGCCCTGGGGATCTCTGAGGAGTTTAGGGATGACCTGTGACCCACAGCTGCCAAATGCTGTCACAGGGACAGGAAAGGATGTGGCTACAATATGGGCAGAAGCAGGAGAGACTGGGTGAGTGGGTGTCCCTTGGGGGAGGGTCTGGCTGGCTGGCACCCAGGAGAAGGAAAGCTTGTAGGGTGCAGCCCTGGACTGGAAGCCAGGAGTCTGCTTTTGTCTCTCATCTGCTGTGTGACCCTGAGCAAGTTTCTGTCTCTGGACTTGTTTTCCTGTTGTACACTGGAGAAGGGAAGGGGAGTTCTATGATTTGGACCTGAGGTTGCTGGGCAAGGGGGTAAAGGAGGAAAGCTGTTCAGGCCCAGGGATGGGTGCAAACCCTTGAAGGCTGGCATAAGAGAGACATACCCGAGCCTTGCCTACACCATCCTCCCACCTTGGGTTTTCCCGGGAGCCTAGAGGAAGTCCCTAAGCAGGTCCCTGCACCTGGATCCTCCTCGTACCAAGTTGGGCCTCACTGCAAAATTCAATTCCCAGTCTCCATTTCGGGGGCTGACCCCTACCCCCATCCCCATTTCTGCCCAACTTACCCTGGCTCCAGTGAGCTGCCCCCAATGAAGCCATAGCGGTCCGCCTGGCGGTATGGCCCAGGCCCACTCAGCTCTGAGTCGGACCCCAATGAGCTGGAATCATCTTGAGGCTCAGAAGTCTGTACCAGGTCCTCCCCCAGGGCCTGGGCCATGGTGCCCCAGATCCCTGATGCCACCGGCTGCAAGGTATGGGGAGAGCCAGAATGAGGGCACCTCTGCTTGGGGCCTGGGTTCCCAGCCAGCCAGTTCCAGGCCCTCAACCCTGGCTGTGGAGTCAGAGAGATTAACTTTCAGGGTATCTGCCCAGCCCACTATGTGCTCTCTTTTACTGGGGAGTGGGCTGGGCCCTGAAGGGACAGAAAGACCAGGCCCAGCCCACCGCCACTGTGCCCTCAAGTTTGGCTCACCTCCCTGCCGCACCTCACCTCCTCCTCTCACTTCCTCTTTAGACTTGGCTTCAACAACCCCCTGGGGGCCCCTCCCAAGTGTATGGGGGGGTCACCCTTCCTCTCAGAGGCTCTTCCGGCCTACCCCAGCACCCCTGAGCCACAGGCTCCTCCCACCTTCCCCTGTGCTGGGTGTGATGGGTCCCACCCTGTCAGAGGTATAGAGACCCAGCCAGCTGCCTCAAAGTTTAAGGTTACGCACATGTAAAACAATGAACTCAGGGTTCCAATAAGACTTACAATATTTGACTTTTTTTTTAAAGCAGGGTCTCCCTATGCAGTTCAAGCTGGCCTTGACTTCACTATGTAACCGAGGCTGGCCTCGAACTGGCAGGGATCCTCCTGCCTCAGCCTCCTCAGTGCTGGGATTACAAGCATGCTCCACCATGCCCAGCCTACTACGGAATTTATATTTTGCTTATTTATTTTTTGTTGTTTTGAGACAGTCTCATTATGCAATCTAGGCTGGACTCCTGTCTCAACCTCCTGAATGCTGGGTTTAGAGGCATGTGCCACTATGCACGGCTAAAATTTATACTTTAAAAAATTAACTGAGCAGAAAAAAAAATTGAGCAGGCAATGTGGACCAAAATATACTGAGTTCAGTGGCAGATATCCTAGGGACTGGTCAACAGTCTGGGGAGCCACGGACACCCAACTGTCCAGCCTCTGGCTATCTCTGAATCTCGGGCTAGTGGTGGTCAGCCTCTGAAAGAGAAAAACAACTTTCCAGTGTTTCCGGCCCCAAATCTTCGGAGCAGGGCTGGGTAACTGCTTAAGAGCAGAGCCAGCCTCAGACCCTGCCCCTTCAAACCCTGCCCTGAAAAGCCCCGCCCACCACATATCCTTTAACCAGCCACGCCCATCTCCCGCAGTCCCCGCCCCCAGACCGCCGCAGCCGCTACGCTTCCACTCCAGCAGAGGCGCTAGAAGGCGAGAACGGCTGGGAGGGCGGTCGAGGAGGCGGGGCGGTGGGCCAGAGGCGGGCTGGGGCGGACGGAAGGAGATCCAGGCCGGAAGGAGGCTGCGGGAGGGCGGGAGGCAGGAGCGGGCCCGGAGCTGCTGGGTCGGAGCGGCGGCGCCGCCATGTCCGACAGCGAGAAGCTCAACCTGGACTCTATCATCGGGCGTCTGTTGGAAGGTTGGCCGGGGTGGGGAAGGGCCGCGCCCTGGCCCCCAGCCCGGCCCGGAAGTGGCCGCGGGCGGGCCTGAGCGTCCCGGGCCAGCCTTGACTGGGCGGGGACGGGCCACAAGGTCCCGTGGTTGCAGCTCCCCCACCGTGGGCGCGTCTCAGAGGTCTGGGTCACGCTCCGGCAGACGGAGTAGCCCCCTCCTGGGCCAGGGGCGCAGGGTGACCTGGGCTCGAGGTGAGACACGTATAAAGCCTACCCGAGGAGTCCTCTGGTATGAGATTTTGGGTGATTAGCCCTACTCACAGTCCCCTTGGAGAGCTCCCAGGGTTGTTGGCGTCTTGTCTTGGGAGGCTCAGTAACAACTGCCCTTAGGCGAGAAAGGGCTCAGTCTTCCCCAGAGGTCCCCATGGGACCACCTGTGTCGCCCACCAGGGGCTAGGAACCTGACATCCCATCCCACTCCCAGTGCAGGGCTCGCGGCCTGGCAAGAATGTACAGCTGACAGAGAACGAGATCCGTGGTCTGTGCCTCAAATCCCGAGAGATTTTCCTGAGCCAGCCCATTCTTCTGGAGCTGGAGGCCCCCCTCAAGATCTGTGGTGAGCCTCTGCCCAGGCACCTTTGGCTTCCTGAAAGTGGCATCACCCCCAGAGTTCCTGGATTTCCTCCTTCTTTGAGCCCAATCCTAGCCCTAGGTTCAAGTTTACACCTTGCACCTAGCTTACCAGATGCCCTGGGTCACAGGTGATATCCACGGCCAGTATTACGACCTTCTGCGGCTGTTCGAGTACGGCGGCTTCCCTCCAGAGAGCAACTACCTCTTCCTGGGGGACTATGTAGATCGAGGAAAGCAGTCTTTGGAGACCATCTGCCTGTTGCTGGCCTATAAGATCAAGTACCCTGAGAATTTTTTCCTTCTCCGAGGGAACCATGAGTGTGCCAGCATCAACCGTATCTATGGTTTCTACGATGAATGTGAGTGATCTGGGTGTTGAGGGCTCCCTGGGGTTGGAAACTGCATGCTCTGCTCAGCATGGAGCCCTGATGGACTGCAAGCTAGTCAGTTAGTGTCTCTGTCCTGCCCTCCCTGGTCTGGGGCCTGACACTCGGGAACAGGTACGGCCAATAGATGCTGCTGGTGACACTTTTCTCCAGGACATCCATTTCTTGAGCTCTTACATGCCTATGTAGATCAGTCTGTGCTGGCCTGAAGTAGAGAAAAACTAGACTTGGTTTTGGCCTGGGCCTATGGGATGGAGGTGGGTGCCAATGCTGACACTGGGCCAGATTGGAACTTGGATTCCTCTGGACTCAGATGCTTTAGAATTACTCCCAGAAGGCTGGAGTGTGGGGGCAGGGGCTTGAGCCTTCCTTGCCTTCCATTCTCTTCTCCCAGCTACCTGTATTCCTGGAAGGCCCAGAGAGCCAGGATAAGGGTGGACTGGGCTGAGCTGAGCTGAGCTGAGCTGAGCTCTGCTCCCCATGAGCCATCATCTTCTTCCTCTGGGCAGGCAAGAGACGCTACAACATCAAATTATGGAAAACCTTCACTGACTGCTTCAATTGCCTGCCCATTGCTGCCATTGTGGATGAGAAAATCTTCTGTTGCCATGGAGGTGAGGGTGGTTGTGGGGCACTTGGTGAGAGAATGCCCAGGCCACATATCCCAGGGTCCTGGAGCAAAACTGCTAGACTTTTAAGGAGCTCTCCTTGGGTCTCCTCTTGGATGTCAGTTCTTGCCGGAAATCACCCCTGCATTCATTAGGGTGCCCTCTTTCCTGTTGTGGCATTCAGTATCCTGCGTGGAATTCAGTTGTCTCCTTTCTCTGGGGAGTGCTGCACTATCTGAAGGCAGCAGGGACATCTCTGTACTTGTATTTGGGATTTGAAAAGCCCTGGGGGGATAAATTCTGCCTGCCTGGGCTCCAAGGGGTCCAGGAGAAGGGTCAAGTGGTGGTGTGAATGGTAAGGCTGATTCCCAAAGGCTTTCTGGAGGAGGAGGGGTTCTTGTTTTGAGGCTTGAAGTGTCTACCTTGTTTTCTCCAGGCTTGTCCCCAGACTTGCAGTCCATGGAACAGATTCGGCGCATCATGCGGCCCACAGATGTGCCTGACCAAGGCCTGCTGTGCGACCTGCTGTGGTCTGACCCCGACAAGGACGTGCAGGGCTGGGGCGAGAATGACCGCGGAGTCTCCTTTACCTTTGGGGCTGAGGTGGTGGCCAAGTTTCTGCACAAGCATGACTTGGACCTTATCTGCCGGGCACATCAGGTGGGCTGGCAATCCTGGGTCATGGCTGAAAGGGTGGATGGGCAGACCAGACTTGGACCTGAGTGCTCCTGTCTTTTCTCAGGTGGTAGAAGATGGGTATGAGTTCTTTGCCAAGCGGCAGCTGGTAACACTGTTCTCAGCTCCTAATTACTGTGGCGAATTTGACAACGCTGGCGCCATGATGAGTGTGGACGAGACCCTCATGTGCTCCTTCCAGGTGGGCCCTGCAGACATGGCTGGTGGGCCCTGCAGCGCAGCAAGAGCCTGACCAACTTTTTCTCTTTCAGATCCTCAAGCCCGCTGACAAGAACAAGGGGAAGTATGGGCAGTTCAGTGGCCTGAACCCTGGAGGCCGACCTATTACCCCACCCCGCAACTCCGCCAAAGCCAAGAAATAACCTCTGTGCCACCCCTGTACCCCAGATGGATTATAAAAACAAATCATGCTGCCACTGGGGGTCACAAAGGCCCCTCAAGCCCTCCCATCATGGGGGACACGGAGCCTTGGTGTATTTTTCTTTTTTAATAAATCAATAGCAGCGTCCAATCCCCCAGGGCTTCCTCCCACCCACAACTGTGGTGGCTGCAGGTGGGATCCTGGGGCTGAGGCTGCAGCTCAGGGCAATGGCAGGCCAGACTGTGGGTTTCCAGCTGTGCTCGGTCACAGGGCTGGCAGCAGGATCCTGGGGCAACCCATCTGGTCTCTTGAATAAAAGTCAAAGCTGGATTCTCGCCATGGCCTCTTGTCTCCCTCTTCCTTAACACTGGGCCTGGCAGCCCTTCTCCCCACAGCCATTTGGGAGGTCAAACTTGCTGGGCACAGGCCCAGCCAGGATAACCCCAGGCACTAGTCAGGTCCAGAGGCTCTTAGAATTTCAAGCCAGAGCCAAAGAGTATTGGGAAAGCCAGGAAAGTCTGTGCCAGCCTTGGGGATTCCAGAGTGTGGGTGCTGCTTGACGGAGGGGCGGCCCATGATTAGCAGAGGTGGGTCAGCAGCAGTTCGGCCCTAACTGTGATTTTCCCAGGGAGCTGAGTCTAAGCAGGTTGGGCTGGAGACTCTATGGTAAATGACAGGTGAGATACCTTCTGTCAGGTGGCAGCTTGGCACCAGGCCTGGAAAGAGACATGATTGATTATAGGATTGGGCGGGGGTGACAAGATGGAGGTCAGACACGGCCAGCCAGGCAGCTCTGCAATTGACAGCCAGCAACGGTAGCCTTTTGGGAAGGAACAGAACAGCCAGCACAGCCCTTCTCTCACCCCCACCCCCTAGCACCAAAACCTAGCCCTGCCACACTGGCTGGGGCTTCTAGTCCACAGCTTTAGGACACAGACTTCAGGTCCATTCTTCAGCCTTCACCATCACTGTCTTCAGCCAGCACAGGGCTGGGACCCTGGGGAGAGTGTGTGGGGGCTAAGATGGAGCCAAAGAACAGCGAACGGAACTGGAAAGAGAACAGAGGAGACAAAAGTGAGCTTTGGAGGCTTGGTCCTTCCTCACCTCCTGTCCCTGCTCCCCACCCTCCAGCGGCTACCTTCTTGGGTGGGGGAGTCCCAGGCACTGGACTGGGCTCAGCTTCGTTGTCCTCTTCCTCTGAGTGGGGGCCAGGCATAAGGGAAACGGAGGGCAGTGCCCGAGAGCCCTCACTGCCTACAGTGGTTTCCATGGCAATCATGTAAGAGTCAATGTCATCATTGGCAAAATTATCCTGGTAGGGTGTGCTGTAGGCAGAAACAGAGTATCAGCAAGAAATAGGGAAAGAAGTGGGAGTATTCTGGCAGGCTGCACTTCAGAGGGCTCTGGGGCCTCCAGACCACTGGTGAGCTCTTGGTTTTATGACTTCCTGATTTGGTTGGGGAGGAAAGGATGCAGGAGTTTAGTGGGGGCTTCCTGGAAAGGGTAGGTCTGCAATCCTTTTGATCACAGTTCAGGTAGAAGCCTCAGGGAGGCATCCTAAGCACTATTTAGTTTAGTTGGGGGAGGGGAAGACCAAGTCTTCTGAGCAGGCCACACGGGGCCCTGGCCCCCACCTTCCCAAGGGATAGGAGCTGGAATGCACTGTACCCCAGGGATCCATTGGGCAGGAGGCCAGACTAAACTTCCTCTGCTTCCACTACACTGGGCCCATCCTCAACCCACCTGCCCTTCCAGCCACCTGTTTCCCCCAGCCCAGGCGGCTCCTTGCCTCCCAACAGCTCTTTCCCTCCTTGGCCTGGAAGGAGGCTCAGAGGAGAGACCCCAGCCAGAGAAGGAAGCCAGTAGGACCTTGGGGAGGCTTCCCTGGGTGGGAGGGATCTCTGAATACAGCTGACCATGAAGGCTGAGCCTGCAGAGGCTCTGTAGAGCTAGGAATTGAAAGGAAGTGAGAGAGAGAAAGAGAGAGAGAGTGAGAGTGGACTGTGTGTGGGGAAGGTATGGAAGTGGCAGAAGATGCAGGTTGGCACGTAAACAGATGGAGAAGTGGGTGGGTGATGCCCTCACCTGTGACTCTGTAGCTGGGGCATGGGCTGGTGGTGCTTGGAGGAGCTCAGGTCCTGTGTAGGGGGGTCCAGCTCTAAGAGTGTGGCCAAGACAAAGTGGCCATCCAGCAGAGAATCCTCAATGCTGAAGATGGCTGGCCTGAGCAAGAGAAGCTAAGTTATTCTCTGTTTAGTTTCTAGCACCCCAGAACAATTCCTCATCCTGTCCCAGGCTGAGAATTACCTGCCTGGAGCATCAAAGTGAATGCTAACAGGCAAATTTGCTGACTCTGCAAAGCTCAGGAGGCCCTGGGAGGGAAGAAGATCAGTGAGAGCCTGGGATGGGCAGAAGGGCGGGGTGGGTAGTGGGAGAACAGAGGAGCTTACCCGGAATTCTTTGAGGCAGAAAGTGATACCCATTCCTTCTGGGGCCTGCAACTGCTGGAAATCCTCCTCCCCAATGCTCATCTCAGTCACCATGGCCTTGGAGGTGCTCTCTGTGGGGCCAGGTACAGGAGGAACCAGGGCTTCTGGGTCCTGGGATCCAATTCCCACATCTACTCCATCCCGGGACCTGACTACCTCTCTCACCTGCCTCCTCCTCTTGGTAGCTGCGCAGGATGACCCGGCGACCACGGCCAATGCCCAGTGTCACTTCAGCCAGTGCAGGAGGAAAGGGCAGCACAGCCTCACCCAGGATCCTGTGAGGACACAGCATCATGCCTAAGGCTCACCCTGCCAGAGGCTTTGCTCTCAGAAATCCTGAAGCAGGGCAGTGACACACACCTGTGCCTGTAGCAGACAGCCTTGTGCACCCTGGGAAGTACAGGACAGGATGAGCATGATGGGGAAGTGGCAAGTGGCCATGCAGGGCTAGAATACCACATTCATACCATCCCTAGAAACCCAATCCTCAGAGCCCTTAAATCCTTGTCTTCTAAGAATTCACACTGCTAAGTTAGTATTTACAAATAAAATATCATTTGGAGCTTACCTTAAGATACCTTGGAACAGAAACTAACATCTATTTCTTTCTTTTTTTTTTTTTTTTTTAGACAGGGTCTCGGTGCAGTTCAAGCTGGTCTTGAACTGACTTTGCAGCCCAAGTTGAACTCAAACTTGCAAAAATCCTCCTGCCTAAGCCTCCTGAGTGCTGGGGTTACAGGGTTACACACCTGGCTTTTTTTTTTTTGGTGTCGGGGATCAAACTCCTGACCTCACACTTGCCAAGCAAGCTCTTATGCCACTGAGCTAACTCCTCGGCCCTACTTACCCAGCTCTTTAATTTCTATATGTATTTGAAATTATCCATAAAAAAGAATCAATTTGTTCATTTTTAAAAACAGAGAGAAAAACATGTCTCAAATGCAAAATAAGGTGGCAGCCTTTCCTCCTTTTCTTATCAAAGGAGTCCTAATCACTGCTGGCTCCACAGAATCCAGGTCGCTATCAGGACCTGAAGGGACCTTCAGTCACCAGGACACACGTACTATACTTTGGGCTTGCTGAATGTAAGCAAACCCAGTTCAGGGTGCCCACTCCTCTCTGCCTTTGTGCCTTTGCCTTGGCTGTACTGCCCATTCCCTTGGCCCTGCCCAGTTCCACCCTCACAGTTGACTATTAGCAGCCCTCTTGAATCCTCACCTCCCCACTCAGCTTCCTGCCTTGACTTAGAAATTACAGAAGTTAGGAGAGGCTTCCCTTGAATGGGGACACCCCCCAGGAAGATGATTAGGCAGAGAAGCTCTTTGAACCCCAAGGGTAAGGACAGACCTTCAAGGTTACTCAGGTCGGACAAGAAAGGTGATGGCCAGCCACAGATGCACTCTTTGAGAAGAGGAATCAGAACGAGTAGTAAGGAAGAGTGAGGGCAGGCTCCCACAGACAATGAGGGGAATAGGACAAGGGGGCACCTGCCCCTTCTCCACACCAGCCCCTGCTTTTAGAGCATCAGGTTAGGACCCATGGGCAAAGCGAGGCTTATAGAAACCCTGCAGGAGGATGAACCAGGTTTCTTCTTAGTTCACCCTGGGAGCCCCAAAGAAGGAAGAAAGAGAACCAAGCTGAGCTTGCAGCCAGAGTGTGCTCACCGTGCAGGAGCGCGGAGCACATGGGGGCACGAGGCTAGATTGAAGACGGCCTGCAGGGATTCACAGTCCTGGAAGGACAGGTTGTGAGTCTTCCTCACTCCTGCATAGGCAGACAGGGTTCTCAGTGGGCCTCACCCACTTCCCCAAATCCCAAGGACCCCTTGACTGGTCAGCTGCCTACTCACCATACTTGCAGTGCAGCTGGACCACCAAGCAGCTACTCCTGTCATTAAGGGAGATGCAGCATTTTTCCACAGTCTTCTCCAGCATCGCCAGAGAGCGGAAGATGGACAGGAAGGACTGAGAGAAAAAGGGACATAAGCCTAGCACTGTGTCTCCCAGCCAGCTCTCGCATCCTATGCGGGCTCACCAATACCCTGGTACGTAACACAGAAGAAGAGGCAGACTTCCAGGGCTTTTTCACATTGTTCCCTCTGCCTAGCTCAAATGTCACCACTCTCTCCAGGCCCCTGGTGTCAACAGTGCTCCCTATAGCTCCCATTATTCTTTGTGGATGCCCTCACTGGATTCTAAATAGAGCTGCTACTCCCAGGCAGCATCTGCAGAGTGCTCCCGCAGTGCCCCAGAGTGGGGCGTTGCCAGCTGCTGCTGAGAAGAAGGTCTCACCTTCATCAGGATCTTGCAGCGCAGCAGGTCCTGCCCAGGGGTAGAGGGCTGGTACTGCTGGAAGAAGAGCGGGGCAAAAAGGAAGCAGGCATAGGCAGATCGAGATGAGTTCACCGTCCGGAGGGAGAGCTGGGCCACAAAAGAAGGGAAGGGGACACTTAGGACAGAAGCAGGCCCAGCCCTCTGGCTTAATTTTGGTCACATTTGCCCCCTGGTAATCCCAGGTGCTCCCACTTCAGCATCTGTTGAAACTCTACGCCCCCTTGGAGTCAGTCAGTGGTTTCTCCAGCCCTTGTAGTCTCCCTCTGTACTGCTCTCCCACCACCGCGGCTTAGTATGTCCCTCCCTTCCCCTAGTTATCTGAATCTGCTGTCACCCTCGAGTTGCCACTGGCCACTACAGGAGGAGAAACTGCGCTCCATGCACACTCCGCCTGGGTCGAAGACAGGGCCCAGGGTGATGCTCCAACAGCCAGGGAGCAAACTCCGAATTTGCCCAGGGTCATTCTGCCCAGAGCGGGTAACAGTTAGCCCAGACTCCGGGCTGCAATCCGCCCACCCCCATGCCCAGTTCCTCACCCCATCGTCCAAGGGTTCCAGGTAGAGCTCGTCCCCAATGCGGGACAGGGAGTGGACGGCCTTGCCCAGCACTGTGGGGACAAAAGCACAGACGTTAGGCTGGTACCTCAGGGTAGCTCACGTGCCCGCCTCCAGGCCGGCTCAAACTCACCCTTCACGTTGCTGCCCGTCACCACACACTTCATGCTGCCTCCAGCACCGCATCCGGGCTTGGCTTAGAACGGGGCTGAGAGCGGCGAGGGTGGGGGAGCTGGCCGCAGCTCACTCCAGCGCGCGGTATCAGTAGCCACCGCCGGTGCTCCAGCTTCCCTTCCCGCGCACCGCCCCCGATCAGCCCCTCCTCCGCTTCCTTATTGGACCACACTCTGGCGTCTCCGTCACGTGAGAAAAACGCTCACCGGCTCCGCCGTCACGTGAGGGTCTCCGCTCCCGGGGCCGGCTTCGTCATGTGACCCGGAAGTTGGGTGCCAGCGCCTTTTTCCGAGCCTCCGCTTCCAGGTGCGTCCCTGGCTTCTGCGAACTGGGCTGCTGGGCAGGAGCGTTAACGGGCCGCGCACCAGAGCGCGCAGGGCCAAGAGGATGCACTCGAGGGCGCCAACTGCCTCTGCGATGGAAGTCAGAGCTGGAGGGGCGGGCCCTCCTAGGACATTCCGTTCACAATTCTTGGGCGTCTGTCGGGGGATACACGGTCGAAATACGATCGTCCTCACCTAGTCTGGGCCGGCGCCGACTCGGACGCCAGCAGCAGCCACCAGCTCCCAAAGGTGGTTGCTGCAGGAGTCAAGAGTCGGAAAGGGGCTGTTCTTTCTGATTTCAAGAATCCGATATTGATTCTCTAAATTGATACTTGGAGAAAGGACAAGGTTCTGTGAGCAGAACGGGGTTGAAGGGTGCACCTAACAGAGGGACAAGCAAGAGCGAGGCTCAGCAGTGCCTCGGGCTCCGCCACATGAAGAAGGAAGCGGGTCTGTGAGCCTTGCTGCAAAGCGGTGGGGGTACTCCGACACGAGCGGCACGACTGGCAAGGCCTGTAGACTGTTGAGGAGGGATCATAGTTCTGTGTTTCGTATAGACCTCAGAACTTTTTCACAGGAACACTTCACTCCGCTTAAGTCTTCGCCTTGCTAGGGGCACTGTGTGGGAGGGAAGTCCTGAAGACCCTGGCTGGGCCGGTATTCTCCACAGCAGCATGCTTTGTGGTTCTCCGAAGAGCCCGCTTATACCATGCCTCTCCGGTCTTGCTGGTAGGCCGAGTTTGTCGTAGTTCTTTGCCTCCAGATCCACTTTGGTTTCAGTTTACTTCGCCTTCAGTCTTTGCCCCTTGCCCAGAGCCCCGCAGGAAGAAGTTGCTTTGCTTTTCCAAAGTGACCAGTGTAAATGGTAGCCCTTTACCTAGACCTTATCCTTGACTCTTCCTTCCCTTTCCCCTGCCCCTCTGATCCTTTAGTGGGTCCTGACTGCTTCACCTCTCAAACAGATGGCAATGTGGCCCTCCTCCTACATCTCCTTGGCAACCACAGGGCTTGACCCACATTCTCTCACCTGGATGGCTACATCAGTTCTCAGTGATCCTGTGTCTCCACCCTGCCCCTGCCAATTCACTCCACAGCAAGACTGACGTTCCCAAACTGGGGGTGGTGACACCCACCTTTATTTGGCTTCAATCCCAGCTACTCAGGATGCTGAGATAGGATCATAAATTCAAAGCCAGGTTGGGTAATTTAGCAAGGATCTGCCTCAAAACAAAGGGTTTGGAATATAACTTCAGTGGTAGAGTGCTTACCTAGTTTGCACAAAGCCCTGAGCTCAGTCTACTGTAGTGGGGAAAAAAAAAGTGACCTTCCCAAAACACTGTCCCATGCCTCTCTCTCTTGTTTACATGCTCCAGTGGTTGCTACAAAACCCTGGTCAACCCTGAACCTGCAAGGTCCAGGTCCCACTCATCTCACTGTCTCCTCCCTTGAACCCATTTTCTCTTGGGTTTTGCACATGCTGTTCCCCTCATGTGACTTTCCCATTTCTCAAATGTGGCTGCTTCTCATTGGCTCGGCTGTACCTGTCCCTCCTCAGCTCTGCTTGTTGCCTCTCTTCAGTTCTGCCACCATGATGCTTATCACCTTAAGATTATTTCGCATGTTCCTTATTCAGCAACTGTCTTTACCATTATGATGCCAGCTTCCCATCAGCAGGGATCATATCCTTTTTGTTTGCTGCTAAACCTTTGTACCTCACATGGGTTCTGGTTTTCAGTAGATGATTATTAAACATACTAAATTAATAAAGGCATGAACCATATAAAATTGAGCTGCTGCCAAGTCACTCAGTGTAATGGTGAAACAAATAACCTCAGCTCAGCTTCCAGCCTTTTGTCTACAGTGCCACCTTCCCCTGTACAGTAGCTGTCCCCATACTGTTTAAAAAAAAAAAAAAAAAAGCCTTACAGGCCTTATACTGGCACATGCCTGTAATCCCAGTGCTCAGAAGCTGATGTAAAAGGATCACCGTGGGGCTGGGGATTTAGCTCAGCGGCATAAGCGCCTGCCTTGCAAGCAGGCAGCCATAAGTTCGATCCCCGGTACCGATAAAAAAAAAAAAAAAAAAAAGAAAAAGAAAAGAGGATCACCGTGAGTTCCTGGCCAGCCTGAGCTACACAGTGAATTTAAGGCCAGGCTGAACTACGTAGTGAGACCCTACCTCAAAAAACCAAAAATGCTGGGGATGTAGCTCAATGGCACGGTACCTCCCTGGCAAGCACAGGATCCTGAGTTCAATTCCCAGTACAAAAATAAATAAAACAACTTTATTTTTTTTGTCTTTTTCATTTTTATCGGTACCAGGGATCGAACTCACGACTGCCTGCTTGCAAGGCAGGCGCTTATGCCACTGAGCTAAATCTCCAGCCCCCTTAAATAAAACAACTTTAGCAGCTCCTGGTGGCACACACCTTAACACTTGGAGGCTAAGGAAGTAGGATGACAAGGTCAAACCCAGCCTGAGCAACTTCTTGGCATTCTGTCTCAAAATAAAGTAGAAAAAAAAAGGTGGGGGTGGGGAACCTGGGGATGTGGCTCAGTACAAGATTCTTGGGTTTGATCCCCAGTACCACAAAAACAAAACAAGAAACTGCCACAGCCTTAGCAATTCAGTCCTTACCATTTTTTCCTTTCCACTGTGGCCTTCCTACCTGCATGGCCACTGCTAAACAGCCTGATCACAAGGCAGGAAAGGAGAAGGTTTCCATTAGTCACATTTCTGCTCCTGACACCTCTAGGGTTACAGAGACCTGTCACGCTGAAGTCTCTGGCCACAATGAGAGGGGAAGGCAGACACAAACATGTTTGGGGCTCCTAATGAGTCTGTCCTCAATCAGCCTCCCACCTCTTGCCAAAAGTGGGAAATAATGTGAATCTTCTGCAAGGTTTAGCAACCAGAAAGTGCCAGAGTCAGGAGCCAGTAAGTTTGGGTTTCCTGTCTGGGATTCAGCACCCACTTGCTGTGTGATTTTGCACACGTCCTCCCTGCTTCAGGCTGCCCCTTCATCTGTGCACTGTGCTCAGAGAGGATAACAGGACATGCACTGAAACCCAGTCCAACTTGATAGAAAGGCTGGGAGGCTCCCAGGGAGACGCTGGACTTCTCGGTGCCCTTACCCACCTGCAGTGCTAGAGAGGGGCTGGAGCTGGTGTCCTGCTCCCTGCTTCCCCACCCCAGGCTGTGGAGCTGGAAGGAGCTCAGGCAGGCTTGCAGCTGTCATATCCAGTAATGCACTCCCGGCCCAGAAGGGAAGACGCACAGGGGAAGGAAGAGCTCAGAGCTCCATTGGGAATTGGGTTGGGCAGAAGATAGATACAGGGACCCAAAGAAAACTTGGGTCTCTGCTAAAGGACAGGAGACCTGGGTATAGTTCCAGCCCTATTTATAGGTGACCTCAGGCAAACTAGGGGGTGTCTCTTTTCTATTTTATTTTATTTTATTTTGGACAGGGTAGCCCAAGCTGGTGTTGAACTCAGGGTCATCCTCCTGCCTTAGCCTTAGCTGGGATTATAGGTGAGCACCACCACATCTAGCATATCAGGATTTTTTCAAGCCCCAAGTTCATGCCCCATATTAGAGGCATGTCTGGAGGGTGACAGAGAATGGAAGAAGGTAGTGACCATTTCAAATTTTTAAAATACTTATCTGTTGGTAAATTTCCCTTTTTTGGTCCACTAATTTTCACCCCAGTGGTTGGTTATGGCAGAAGTCAAAGCCTGGGACCTTGGTATTCAGGAATTCACTCATTCAACACATACTGGACACACTTCTAGTATGAGAAACAGAATGGGACAAAGGTCCTTGCTCTCATGGGTTTCTACCCTGGTGGGAAGAGACAGTCATCAAGATGAATGAGTCAGTCATATGGTACACAGGGTGGCAGATGGTGTGGGAAGAAAGCAAGCCCAAAGAGAAAGAGGGCTGTTGGGAGAACTCTAAGCAGCATTGCTTGGGTGGCCTTGCTGAGCAGTAGATATTTGCCCAAAGACTAGTGGGAGGGAAGGGGATGTGCCATGCAGACATCTGAAGAGGAGTGGTATGGGTAGAGGGGATAGCCAGTGCCAAGATTCTGAGTGGGAGTTTGTCCAACCAGGGCAGAGTCAAGGTTCCTGAGGTGAAAGGGGGCTGCAGGCTGCTGAGGGAAACTGACACACATCAAAGAATCACTGTATTAGCTTTCCTCAGCAGAGACACAGTATTTATCATTTTCTTGTTTCAGCACAGTTTCTAGGATTCAGTCCATGGCCACCCAGCTCCGAGGCAGAAATGGCATAGAGAAAGGCCTGACAGAGGGAAAGCAACTCAATCCATGGCAGCCAGGAAGCAGAGAAGTGGAGAGTAGGAACAAGCTAGAGAGCTTCCAGGTGGTACCCCAGTGATACCCCCTCCAACTGGGCCTCACCTAATAGCACATTTAGCTACTGTCTCATCAATTAATTAATTCACTGATGAGTATAATGCTCCCATAATCCAATCACCTTCCAAAAGCCTCACTTCTGAACACAATGAGACTTTGGATGGATGTTTAGGATCTAAATCCTAAGAATCACCAAAGTCAACAGGAAGTTACACCTTGGAGAAATGACCATTTGGGCTATGGGAACATGCCATTGGGCAGACTTGGTATGTGTGTGCGCACAGTGGTGGGGAGAGTTCCTGGAAGAACAACTGGGAGGAGACAAGGCTTTGAGGATGAGTTGACCAGAAAAACACATTCACGGAGGAGTTGGTGAGAATGATGTCCCGTACAACCCTCCTCAGAGACATATGAACATAGGTGGGATTACTACTGGTAAGGGTTTTATCAGAACGGCGTAATAAAAGGCAGAGGAGTTTGGGGGGTGAGAGTTCACTGCAGTTTGTTTTGATATAATAAGTGCACACAAGGGAATGGTATTTGCGTGCTTATTCTGAGGTAACGGTGTCTTTGAGTGTCTGGGCACCTGGCTGGTGGGGTACCATGTGGCCTGCTTGTGATGTGTTGTGATACACCAGGTGCTGTCGGCCCCCCACTGTCAAGTCCTGCCCAGGCCCTTCTTGTTCCCTGACATTTCTCTAACAATCAGCATAACATTGAGATTATTGTAGTGGTTTAAAATGTCTGTGCTGAATGACTGAAGGGTATGAATTCACAAGTGTTACAAGCCAGGTGTGTCTGCAGAGGTGCGGGATGAGACTCCATCTGCCGACCTGCCGAGATCTGACTGCTGGCTCCCTTACTTACAAGTTGTATAAAAATGGACGTTGCCTGGGGCTGGGGATTTAGCTCAGCGGCATAAGCGCCTGCCTTGCAAGCAGGCAGTCGTGAGTTTGATCCCTGGTACTGATCAAAACGAAAAAGACCAAAAAAAAAAAAAAAATATTGGACGTTGCCACTGTTCTCTAGGCCTCAGAGTCCCAATCTGTAAATCAGAAGAAATAACAGTCTCTGGCTCGAAAGGGTCACTGTGAGGATTCATTTAGTTCACATTGCAAAGCTCTCTATATCTGCTGTTGGCATTGCTGTTCCAGTGGTGGCAGTGTCCTCCCCTCCGGCCCCAGAATCATAGTTGCCTCTCATCAGAACTGGAGACAGACAATTAGCTTGGGTGAAGCCAAGGCAGACCAGAAACGCCAGTGAAAAGTCTCCCCAGCAAAACAGTGAAACAACCTGGTGCAGAGAAACTGGAAAATCCCCCGAGAAGAGTTACCCCAAGGGAAGGTGGCTCAGAAGGAAGACTCCCATCCCTGAGCCGCACCACATATGGCCCCATGACGCTGGCCCAAAGAGTCCTGGCTTCTCAAGGAGAATGAGAGTGGTTCACTTCCTCACAGCTGCTGAGGCTGAGATGGGAGAACATGTGTCCATTTTGCTCAATACTGTATACAACGAAGGACCCGTTCTGTTCAGTCGGCAGGGCTGGAGGTAGAGGGGAGATGTGCTGGAATTTTTTAAACCCACAGTGGGGATGGGAAAGGGGAAGCTCAGGCTTGTTCACCAAAACCTGGCATGCTGGAATTACAGGGCCCCCTTGGAGCGCAAGTGAGGTAAGTTTAGGACAAATCAAAGGCAGCATGCTTCACCCAGCAGGGGAGGACACCGATGGAACTCATTACCCCAAGATGTGGTCTCGGCTGGAAATATAAATAGCTTCACAAAAGGTTTAGATAAATCCATGGATGACAGCTCCATTCATGAGTTAGAAGAGGAAGGAGGCTGTTTGAGGCCTTTGGCCCCACTCCCCACCCAAGGCATCAGGGAGGTGACCTGGCCTCACTAAGACCACCCTCGGCTCCCCTGCTAGAGGCAGGCTTCTGGCCTCGGAACCCCAGGAGTGTTCCTGTGGGCTTGCATTCCTGTAGGCTAGAGCCTGGCTCCAGTCCCTGGGCCCTCTTCTCAATTTCCCCATCTCCTATTCCTGGGGACAAGGGCACCACCAGCGCTGGGCAAAGCACCTTGGCCTGGCTATCCCCTTAGGGACCAGCAGAGGGAGACAGATACCGTGTGCAGCCCTAGCTCTCTGCACGGACCGGGTTGACTGCCTGGGTAGGGTCAAGCAAGCCTCCTTGAATGCCATCTCTGTGCAATTTTTGCAAGGCCTCACAGGGGAAAGGATCAGAGAAGGCACCTTCTTGGCTGTGAGGGGCTTACCACAGCAGAGATGGGAGCAGGGAGGAGTTTTCAGGAACTAGAGGCAGGGAGGGGAGGGGGCTACTAATTACAAGCAGAATAGTTCTGGAGTCAGGCTGCCTGCCTCTGTGACTTTATGCTAGTTGTATAATTGTACCTCAGTTTCCCCACAGTTAGATGGCAACTACAGGAGGACTGTGAAATTGTGTGAATTATTTAAATGTTCAGTTCCAGTACTAGGCAAGAAGTAAGT